AGAAAAAAAAAATAAAAATAAAAATAACCATAAACAATCATGTTTGGAGAATCTTTCTAAATTATATAACATAATGATTTCAAGATTTATCTACTAAATACGCCAAGCTCCTGTTTTATTTTTAATGTCTCACAAGAGACAAAGCAAATCTAAAAGAAACAATTAGAACTGATTAATAGGGTATTTCAGTAAAAGTTATAAGAAGAAGCTATAAGAAGTAAAGTAAGAAAAATGCAATTATTTGACCAACTATTTGTCTCATCAAACATTTGTGGCATTATAACACCTTTGAACATCTCTAAATATCTGGTTATTCTTTCCATATGGACAATAATTTTGAAAATAGAGTTGGGTACGACTACAAAAATTGTTCTGATATTTTTTTAGCTGCTTCTTCTTGACAAAAAACCCTGGATATTCAGGTCACTCTGGGTTAAACTGACCTTGTGTTAGAAAATGCTGTGTTGGCGAGTTCTGGTGGCCTAGTGGCAAGAAGCTAAACTGCAATCCCAGAGGTGTGCAGTTCGAATCCACCAGATGCTCTGTTGGAGAAGGAGGGACAATCTCCTCCTGTACCAGCCAGATATGATTTGATGGTACACACACACAAAAGAAAATTAAATTTAAAAAATGCTGTGTCATCATGTTACTGAGAGATGTGTAAGAGTTTTAAATTACTCACTTGGCCTGATGGATATAATGTTTTTATGCATTTCTCATGAGCTCACCTTCCTGTTAATTGAGAGTGGCAAATACATTAATTCTTTCCAAACATATCTGGCCGCCTCAGTTTATTTTGGGGGAGGGAGTTTACTTTTTACTATAGTAACTCCTAGAAGATCTTGTAACTGTTGTTGTTGTTGTGATGTGCTGTTGAGTTGCAATAGACTCACAGCTGCTGACTCTCCAGCACATTTCCAGAGGCTGTAAAATGCACAGAAAGAGATTGTCTATATTTTTCCTGCTGAGCAGCTGATGAATTTGAACACCCTGCCTTTGTGTTGTTAGTGGAACTCTTTATTTACTTAGTCACCTGAGTTTCCCCATAATAATAACTAGTTTTTCTAGTTAAGAGTTTAAAATCCTCTCATATATTTTGGTCATAAAAATAAATAACTGTTAACTGATCTTCCAGTTAGCATCTCTAAATCCTCTTGAGTTACTTGGGATAAGAAAACAGTTCCTTGCACAGACATCTATTTGATTCTAGAAGTACATAAAATAACAGTTTCACTCACTCACTCACTCACTCACTCACTCACTCACTCACTGCTCTTGTTCTTTGTACCATAGAGTCAGAATCGACTCATAGCTGATCCTCCAGTGGGTTTTTAGAGGCCATAAATCATACTGGAAGAGATTGTCCATCTTTCTCCTGAGGAGCAGCTAGTGTATTCAAACTGTGTGCCTCACCATTAGTCTATCAGTGCTCCTTGGTGAAAAGTCACTCATTGTTATAAGAGGCTATAAATTGCATAGGAGGAGATTGTCCATCTTTCTCCAATGGAGTAGTTACTGGTTTATTTGAACCACCAAAGAAGCCTCAATTTGATTTAGGAGTTCAGCTCACTATGGACTATGCCACCAGAGCTCCCTAGAGGTTTATGAAAATGACAATAATATCATTCATTCATTCATTCATTCATTCACTCTGCTATTGAGTCAGAGGCAACTCATACCTGACCCTCCAGTAGTTTTCTGAACCTGTAAATCTCTTTGGAGAATATCACTCCACTATATTTTGAGGACCTACTGGTGGATTTGAACTGCCCTATAGGCTCCCTTTTGGGTTAGTAGCACAACTCTTTATGAACTATGCCACCAGAACTCCCTAGCAATAATGTAGATATACAGAACCAAGACTTAAAATAGCAAATCTACCACTTGGAGCTCCATGCGGAGGAGAGAGAGAGAGAAGAAGAAGAAGAAGAAGAAGAAGAAGAAGAAGG